GCCATATTGTTGCACATCCTTTCACATGTATGACGTTCAAATTTCGTACAGCTAGCACTTTCCTTTCTCAAGTTATTACTAAAATTAATTTAAAAAAAAACATACTTCCTACCCGACTTGACCAAGCTACTCCCCGCTGCCTCAAGCCTCGCTCACACCCCACCGTCAATCTGACCAATTACATCTCTTGGGCCATTTCCGCCCACATCAAGACCTCTGCCAATCATGAACAGGGACGTCTCCGCCCACTTTAAGACCTCGGCCTATGACGATTTGGGACGTCTCCGCCCACAGGACAACATGTTCTGCAGAGACCCCTACTTCACAAATTGTCACCAAACCATCCACTTTCATGTGCAAGTTTGTAAACTATTGTAAGAAATGGATCATGATAACTGTAGGGTGGAGCTAAAAGTTCAGAGATGGAAACTGGGATTCGTTGCCCCTACTTGTAGTGTCATCTTCTGTCCCGCCAAACCTCAACATTTCCTCCTTCACTGCAACTATTAACCTCTGTAATCAGACAGATCCATGTTTAAGATATTTGGTCCAACAGAGCCCATGTTCCTGCTCTTCACATGTTCAAAATGGTGTAAAATATCACAACACAAAAGTGCACACTTTAATGGAATAAAGAGACAAAAGCTCACCATGTTTCAATATTTTTTAAAACATGATTTGTGTGACACTTCAGAGTTGCTCACACTATTTTTTTTGAGTTCTTGCTTCTAACCTTCCAAATCTTGTTTTTACCAATATTTTAATCCACTTGTTCACAATTAATCAGTTACTGTGTTAATCAGTGGGTTTCTTTGAGCATCCAGTGTTCATCCTGCACATCAGCTAATAAAATACAGTTAAAAGTGTAAAAGCAGCAGTCAGGTGGAACCTATAGCGCCTCAAAAACCTACGCCAGGCTAGCTGAACGTATCTCAGGGCTTCCTCCACGTGGTGCAGCACTGCATCTGGTGCCTTGCAATTTGGGATTAAAATATGAAGAATTATTTTTAATTTCATGAAATGTGCTTACATTTGTAATGTGATGTGTTTGATGAGTGATCGTATTTTGAGATAAAAATATTATGTGATATTTTTGTGGTGCAATGTGTGCTTCATTTAAAAACAAATAGGTACAATGGGCCTCATGCAAGAACGTTCGTATTCTTATCCTAAATTTCTCTTACTTTTGTTCGTAC